TGACTGGTCAGGGGTGGTTGATGAAGACTGCGGTGGCATTTCTTCAAATGGGACAATAATGAGCCCTGGCCAGTTTAACTCAGCGGCAGAGTGTCAGCCTGCGGACCAGAGAGTCCCAGGTTCAGTTCCCACTAAGGGCACATACCTGGGTTGCAGTTTGTCCCCGGCCCCAGTTGGGGTCGTGCAGGTGGCAACCAGTCAATGTGTCCCTCTCACGTCGATGCTTCTCTCTCTCTCTCCCCCTCCCACTCTCCCTCCCACTCTATCTGAAGATAAATGCAAAAAAAAAAATGTCCTCTGGTGAGGATAAAAAAATAAATGAGACAATAATGCAGTTTGCCCCACTGATTGACTCTTCCTTTCATGAACGATTTCTCTGCAGCATGTGATGCTGTTTGACAGCATTTCACACCCAGTAGAACTTTTTTCCAAAATTAGAACCCATCCTCTCAAAGACGGCTACTGCCTTTTCAACAAAGTTAATATTCTAAATCTTCTGTTGTCATTTCAACAATCTAAACAGCGTCTTCACCAAGATTATACTCTATCTCAAGAAACCTTTCTTTGCTCATCCACGAGTAACTCCTCATCCATTAAAGTCGTATCATGAGACTGCGGCGATGCAGTCCCTTCTTCAGGCTCCACATCTGATTCCAGTTCTCTTCTCTTTCCACCACATCTGCCTCTACTTCCTCTACTGCGGTGCTGAACCCCTCAAAGTCACCCATGAGGGTTGGAGTCAACTTCTTCCACACTCCTGTTGATACTGATATTTTTTACCTCTTCCCATGAATCATAAACATGGGCATTGGCATCTAGAATGGTGAATCTTTTCCAGAAGTTTCCCACTTACTTTGCTCAGATCCATCAGAGGAATCACTCTGTGGCAGCTACAGCCTTGAAAAATGTATTCCTTAAATAAGAAGACTTGAAAATCGAAATTACTCTCTGACCCATGGGCTGCAAAATGGAAATTGTGTTAACCGTCATGAAAACAAGATTAATCTTGTACATTTCCATCAGAGCTTTGGGGTAATCAAATGCATTGTCAACGAGCAGTACTAGGTCTCAACAAGGGGCTTAAAATATTCAATAAACCATGTTGTCAACAGATGTGCTGTCACCCAGGCTGTGCTGTGCCATTTATAGAGCACAGGCAGAGGAGATTTAGCACAATCCTTAGGGGCTCTAGGATTTTCAGATGGTGAATAAGTATTGGCTTCAACTTAAAGTCAGTAGGTGCATTAGTCTCTCACAAGAGAGTCAGCCTGTCCTTTAAAGCTTTGAGGTCAGACACTGACTTCTCTCTAGCTGTGAAAATCCTAGATGGCATCTTTTTCCAATATAAGGCTTTTTTGTCTACATTGGAAATCTGTTGTTTAGTGTAGCCACCTCCAAGAATTATCTTAGCTAGATCTTCTGGATAACTTGCTGCAGATTCTGCATCAGCACTTGCTGGTTCGCCTTGCACTGTAATGTTCCGGAGACGGCTCTTTCCTGAAACCATCCTCTGCTAGCTTCACACTTTTCTTCTGCAGCTTCCTCGCCTCTTCAGCCCCCATAGAATTGAAGAGTTAGGGCCCTGCTCTCTGGTTTAGGCTCTGGCCTATTATGGGGATGTTGTGGCTGGTTTATCTTCTATCCAGACCACTAAAACTTTCTTCATAGTAAGGCTGTTTCACTTTCTTATTGTTGCACCCTTAGTTTCCTTCCAGAACTTTTCCTTTGCATTTACAGCTTGGCTAACTGTTTGGCACAAGAGGCCTAGCTGTGGGCCTATCTCAGCTTTCGATGTGCCTTTTTCACTAAGCTTAATCGCTTTCAGCTTTTGCTTTAAAGTGAGAGGCAGGCTCACTGTCTCACTAGCAAGGTGAGCCGCCAGTCCCTCTTGTGCTCCACACTCTGCTCTGTCCACTGCGTGTCATGTGTGTGGGAGCTAAATGAGGAAAGGGGAGTCCTGAGGGGGAAAACAAGTTGGAGGCCTCTCTTTAGTAAAGGAAAGGGGGTTCATTAACTCTTCAGGTGACCCCAAATTGGAATGGAATCTTGTCTATTAGTACAACCCAAAAGGAGCAGGATGTAGGCTCTAAATGAGCATAGCAGGGATGGACAAGAGCAGGTCTGAGATGAGCTGGGGTCTCACACCACAACTGCCTGTGGGGTCCTTCCATTGCCCTCTCTGCAGTCTCCCCTCCATGGGGCAGCTGTGAAGTCTCTGGGCTTCCAGGCCTTGCTTTGCCTCTTTGCCTTCAGACTATGGGCATCATGAGCCCTTTACCTTGGCCTCCCTGCACAAACAGTTAGGGTGCGGGCTGCCAGGATCATGGCCATCACACTAATGCTCATCCACCAGAGCTCACCACCACCATAGAACTCCAGTTCCAGAATGTTTCTCCTTTATTATAGGAGGAAAACCAATACCATGCTCCTGGCGATAAGCCCATAGCACTGCAGGACCCCAGTGCCTTTTAAATCACCGGGAGTATTCATCACTTCCAGTGTAACTTCCCTATGATGTGTACTTTACTAAGTTCTGAGTCTTTGAAAATGAGTGCTTTCTGTCTAACATGATATCACGCTGGCCCCAGATTTCTTAGCAAGACCTTCTAGATTCTTTGCAAAATGATGCCAACCTACCTTCCTGGGATTATCTCTTCTGTTGACTGCATGTCATTGCTGCTCCTGCACACCTCAGGGAAGACCCAGTGGGGTTTTCAGCTAAGTGTAGGGCCATCCAGGACCTGCTGCTATGACAGTGTCATGGGCACTGGGAAACCTCCATGTGGCCTGTGCACCCAGCTGCCAATTCAGACTGTCAGCTCCAAAGGGAAGCAAGCCTGGAGAACACAGGCCACGACCCTCTCCTTCACTGCAGCCTTCTGAGCGACTGTCCATCTGCCCCTGCCCGCCCTCCCCCACACTCCCAACTATTGATCAGCGAAAACCTCATCTCCTCCTCTGTGGGAGGCAGTCGGGGCACCCCACAGGCAAGCTCCGATGTGGTCTCTACGCAGCTTCTCTCTCCCCGACTCTATTCCAGAGAGGCTCATTCCCTCTACCCCGGTTGTTATTTTATTATGCAGTGAAAGGCACACATACATTAACATGAGCCCAGACCGGGGGCAGGGGAGAGGTATGGAGTGAGTCCCTCGGCTCCTGGTGGAAGCGAGGCGCCCCCTAGCTCATGTCTCTCCCGCATCAAGGCTCCTCTTTCCGAGCCTCTCACAAGCCCGCTCCCAGGCCCTGCCCCGATTCTGGAGTGTGCAGGGCAGATGTGGAGACAGAACTGAGCTGTGCCCATTTGCTGCTGATGGAAAAGGGTGGGGTGTCTTTGTGTGCCTCACCATTCAGACATTCTCCATGGTGCTATTTTTATCAGCAGTAATCATTAAATTGGTGTCAGATGGGCTGGTCCAGTTCTCCACCCCCAGGCTGGGTGATGGGACTCAGCGGGGATTTTCCAAGCAGGAGATGTGGTATGTGGCCCAGATGAATGCATCCCTGGTATCCCAGGCCTCCGAGGGAGCCCCGTAGGCCTGGACTGCGTTCCTACAGCAATAAGAGGGAGCCTCATCATCACTCCCAGCTCATTATGGACCTGACTCACTTAACAGACATATGTTGAGCACTTTCCAAATGCCAGTCATTGAACAAGACACCATGGGTTCACGAAAATGTATGCTCTCCACCTCAGAGAAACTTGCATTTCACCAGAAAAGATTGTCATGTGGGCAACATTGTCTGTGGGCTGTGCATGTTTCAGAGGCATCGACAGGTTCATAGCAGAGGGAGGATTCGTTCTGTCTGGGCCTCAGGGAAGCTTCATGGAGGTGGTAACACTCAGCCAGGGCTGCAAAGATGAGTAGAGTTAAATGGATAAGAACATGGAAAAGGGCCCTGGCTAGTTTGCTCAGTGGTTAGAGCGTCGGCCTGCAGTCCAGAGAGACCCGGGTTCAGTTCCCGCTAAGGGCACGTACCTCGGTTGCAGTTTGTCTCCGGCCCTGGTTGGTCGTGTGGGTGGCAGCCACTCGATGTGTCCCTTTCACATCAATGTCTCTCTCTCTCTTCCTCTCTCTTCCTCCCACTCTGAACAAAAAATGAAAAAATGTCCTCGGGTGAGGATTAAAAAAAAAACATGGAAAAGGGAACGAAGGGCAGAGACATAAAAAAAATGATGGCAGATTCACCCACAACCCAGTTGTGAATTCAGCCTTCACCCAGAGAGCCCAGGCACACACCCACGTGGACCCTCGCCCTAGGAGGCGTGGGAAGACAGCCTCGATGCAGGAATGCCGTGACCTGCTTACTGCGAGGGCCCTGGCCCTTCTGACTCTGGGTTTCAGGATGTGGCCCTGAGCAGGACCCGGCAGGATTAGTCTGCAGTGGCCATAGTGACCCAGGATGTGAAGTTGGACGTGAGCTAAGACCCTCCCTCCACCACTGTCTGCTCATGGGTTTCGCACCTGAGAACCTAAGTCCTGAATGAAGACGGAGGTCTCTCCTTGGCTTCGGGAATCAAGAACAGGCTATTCTATGGGGACAAAGAGCAGAATGTTCTAGAGTCGAAGTCTTTCTGTCTGAATTATACTTCTTTTCACTAAATGCCTTTTCACGAAGTTTAGGGTGAAATTTAACAGAAAACCAAAATGGGGAATAACAGGAAAACGGGGAGGACCATGGCACCGAATGGTGGCAGACAGTGCATTTGCAGATGTTCTTGGCAGTCGGGCTTGGCACTCGGGGCTTCATTTCCTTGACCAGACACTCCCAACTCCACCCCCACAGTCACATGGACGCGCAGGCACAGCCAGCCGGGCCGGGGTGTGGCTGCGGGCCTCGGTTGGCAGCCAGCTGGAAGAGCCTGGGGCCACCTGTCTGGTCCAGCCTCTCTGCTGTGGGCTCTCAGAGCCCGGGCTGGCTTTGTGGTCTGACTCAAGTGACAGCGAAATGAATGGGATCCTGATGCTGTGACTGAGGCCATTTGCCTGTGTCTCCAACAGGGATGAGAGAGGAAATGTCACTCGGACGCCAGGAGGCTTTCGAAATCTTCAAGAGGGACCACGCTGACAGCGTTACCATCGACGACAACAAGCAGATTCTGAGACAGAGGTAAGGCTGGCTCGAGGAGCCGCTGGTCCCGCGAGGCTGAGCCGGGCCAGCAAGAGGGGGCTCGCTTCTGTCCCCTCCAAACTGCCCGCCTGACTCCTAAAAGGAAGGCACGACTTGCACTCGGGTTCACAGTAACTTAGGTCCAGCCTGGTACGACTCACGTTCAGCAACAACGGGGCTGTTGTCAGCAGCACTAACTTTCTGCACATGCCTTACATTGTACACTCATTCTCATCAGCTGCGACTCTAGCCATGTCTTCCCAAAAGCAGGGGGAAAATCCATAGACTAAATTATAAGTCTCAGAACTCCAGGCCCTGCAGCGGTTCGGACCGTGGGCTCTACTTAGTCCCAGAAAGTGTGCACGTGCGCACTGGTGACCCACAGCCGAGGGCGTGTTCTCCGAGCAGCGTGGGCTGCTCACGCGTGGCGGAGCAAGGCTGTGCTGTGAGCCCCTGCGAATAAACTTACACTTTGCTTGAGATAACCCGTGAGTTAGACACACGTCCTCTGGACTGTGCCTCTGTTGCGTGTGAGTCTGGATCGTAGCACGCAGTAAATTTTCAGAAACCATTTGTTGAATTCGAATGAGATCCAGGATTGAGAGTCATGCGCCCGAGAAGCGGATGAGCTCTCTCGGAACAACGGGGCCGGGCAGGGCCTAGAGGGTGGAACCGTGGGGGGAAGCCCTGGAGGCCGGGGAGGCCCAGGAGGCCATGATGGGACCCGAGAAGAAGCAGAGAGAGGAGAGGGCAACCAGGAGAAAATACTGTCCCAAAGCCGCCTGCCGTCCGTGGGGCGGGGCTACCTGAGGAATCAGCAGGCGGGCGGAGCAGGACAGCGCACAGATCGGCGCCTGGAAGACCCGGGGCTGGAGTTTCGGGAAGAGAGGGAGCAAGTCTGAACGAACCGAGCAGAGGAAGAGCGCAAACAACGTGTTCAAAACGTTTGTGACCGACGGAAAACAGAGAAGCAGCGCGAATCGGCCAAGGCTGTAGGCCACGGGAGCAGGGGAGACTGCGCAGCACGCTCTGATGGGGGGCCGGGTAGGAGGGGTCAGGGTCAAGGTCAGGGCATCGGGCCTGCAAGGAGGCCTGAATGGAGCAGCGAAGCAGGGTGCGGCTGACATCCTGCACTTGGAGGTGGAGGGAGACATGAAAGGCGACCTCTACTTTCTCTGCGCAAGTGGGTGTACAATGAAAAGAAGACCTGAGGACGGTGGTGGAGGGTTAGGGCAGCTGCCCCAGCGGCGGGTAAGAGGGAGACAGGGAAAGAGAAAGGCCGGCTATCAGCCCCGAGAGCCCAGCTCCCACTGTTAGCCAACAGCTTTCCGCGGGTGAGGGGTTGCTGGGGACGGCAGACCAATAGGAATGCGGTGCCGGCGAGGGCGTGCAGCCAGGAGCGGCCGTCTGCAGCACCGTCAGCCCTTCTTCGGCCAAAGAAGTACATGCACCCCTGGGACCCAGCAATTCCACTCCTGGTTCATCTCCCAAGAACTTCTCAGGGTTCAGAAGGAGACACACATCAGGATGCCCCCGGCAGCCGTTTGTGGCCGGAGAGAGCTGGAAACCCGGGCGTCCATCCCTGGGGAAGTAGAGAGGTGAAACCTTGGGGAGAGCTTCCCTGGGGTCGATGCAGCAGGTGGGAGCAACAGATTGATGTGCACACACTAACCAGGAAAGCTGCAGGAACACACCATTTATGTAAATTATAAATATACACATGCATAACAAACATAGTCCAACAAAAAGATACGCTTTAGTAGACTTTAACCACAAGAACGGTTACCTGTGTGGGGCAGCAGAATGGGACCAAGACTCAGGAATGAATGAATAAATAAAAGACTAAAACCAGGGGCTGGGGAGAGAGAGGCCGCAGCGCTGGCGAAGGCCGAGAGCTCGCTCCCCGGGGGAATGGGCTCATGCACAGCCGCGCGAACCTGGCACCTGACCCAGGGCTTCCCATGCTTCTCCTTGCCGTGGGCATGTTTGTTAGTACAGCCCGTCAGGCGTGTTGAAGCAGGAGACCTTGTTTGTCTGAAGAGAAGCGTGCGAGGCTGGAGGACAGCTGCTTTATCCAATAACGACGTCCAAAGAGCCCTTCGCTGTGTCCCTGCCTGCCTGAAGCATCACAGCTCACACCGGTGCCTCCTACCCCGGCCTTATGTCCAAGTGACCACGGAGCTGGTCAAAGCTGCCAAGGCCCTGGCCTGCCTCCCCGGACATTCTCACTCAGTGAGATAGAGCCCGAGCACGCATTGGTTTAAAGGCTACCATGTCACCGGGTTTGAAAGCCACGGCCTAGGCAGTGTCCAGAGACCTCGCGATCCAGGCTCTGAGGTGGGATCTCCAAGCCTCCCAGGTACCCCAGCTCCGCGTGATTCTCTGACACACTCAAGCTTAAGAACCACTGGCTCAGGGAGGACTCGCGCCTTTACCATTCCGACCCTGGACCCGGCATGTTTCCTGGCCTGGCTGGTACCCTTGAGTTGAGGTCTGTTTCCAGGGGGCTGGGGTGGGTGGCAGACATAAGGGTGTCATGGTCTTTTGAAGCTTCCTGATGCAGAGCTCACTGACCTCTGGTGCAGGAGTTCTGACCACCCGTGTGACAAATGTGCATTTGGGTGTAAACACAGCTAAGCAGGCGGGATGGGCTGGTGGTTCTGGTGGTCCCTCTTCCCTGAGGCCATTGAGCAAGGCGATGAGCGAACCTTGCACAAAGCTCCCCTCTGAAAAGAGGTTTTCCCAGCAGTAAATCAGTCTTTTTAAGTCAAATGAAAAGCTGGGAGACCTGCCCACATTTTTAAAAAATGTCACATCTGTTTCATGTTACTGTAATAACAATCATTAAAGGAATATTTGGTCCTGGGGAGTCTAACCGACGACCTACCCCTTTCTCAGGATGGGAGCGTTTGTGCGTTCATGGAGCGGGTTCAGTTATTAGATGTGACGTGCTCCTAACTGCTAAAGGCAGAGGACTAAGAGAGCATGTTTTCGTATGAAAACACAGAACTGTGACCCAGTGCTCTGGCAGGGTCGGGAGGACTGGCCAGTCCTCGGAACACAGAGGAGCAGCTGAGGGCTTTACTCAGGATGGCAGTAAATTACTGATAATTTCCCAACTCTACTGACTGCCTAGTCTCACCTTCCTAATAGTCCTCAACAGCCCTGCCCTCGTGGCCTGCTTGCCATTGTATTTCTACTTCTCATATCAAATAACTGTCATTCATGGTTCCAGTGCTGTGACATCATGTTGGCAAAGTCCATGAAAGAGGCACTGGGGACTGACGGCCCCCACGCCCGTGCCTGGGGTCAGCTCAGCCTCTCTAGCCCTTGATAATTAAGTTCTAAGCCCAAATATAGAGACGCCTCTGATCCCCCCAGCTCCCCAAGAGTGTGAGAGTGGATTTAGAGTTTCAGGAGGGATGATGGATGGTGTGCACATCTGTGTTGTTTAGCAGAAGGGTTTTCCTCCCCTTCTTCCCTGCGCCCCTCCCTGGCCGCCCTCACGGGGCACATGCAGCCTCTCCCAGCTCTGGCCTCCAGTCTGGAACAAGACGTTGGCCCGTTAATAGGATGTTCACCTTCGCTGAGTGAGAATGTGTGAGCCCGTTCCTAAGCCGGATTCAGTAGAAGACAATTGCCATGGAAACCACTGCATTTTCAGGCATGACTCCTCCTGATATACTGTAGTATATGTGTATGTAGCAATGTGCAGAGAGGCTGGAAACCACACCTGGCGGACGCCGGGGCAGGTCTCATACAAGCCGAGCCCCTCACTCACAGGCCATTTGATAGCAAAAGAAGAAATAAACGAGGAGACTGATGCAGCCGAGCGAAGTCCGTGCTACATGCACTAACCGAAGAGCACCCCCCACCCAGCCGGATCCTTCGGACAGAATCTAAACCCGTAGCGCCGCCCGGAAATAACGTCCACGGCGAACAGGAGGTCCCTGGCTCCCAGGAGGCTTCCATGTTAACTTCATTACTTCTCCTTTGTTTGGTTAGTATGTGCACCTGTCCCTGGAGCTGGAATCGTACACTCTGAGAGCGAGAGATTAGAATCTCCTCAGCCTCCTCGCGGTTTTCAAAGCGGTGCTGGCCTCAAACAGTGATGCTCAAGAACCTCCTTGGCCTGAGAAGGACAGTTGGAGGTTGACTTGGGGAAGATTTAGCCGTCGAGAACACTCTTCTCTTCCTAGAAGTAGGAGAAGGCAGCAGCAGGCCTCTCCTCTCGAGAGTTCTGGAAGGGGCTTCGCAGCAGGAGACGAGAGAGGCAGCCAGCCTGAGGCGGAAGCGAGAGGGCGTGGACCGGGAATGTGGGTAAACGTTACAAGCACAAGGCAAACGAGAGGCGGCCCCTCCCGGCAACGGGGCGGAGGCTCCCAGGTGCCCTGCCAGGGACGGGTGTGCAGAGGAGGCACCGGCAGAGACGTCTTCTCTCTTCCTCTGATGGGGAAGAGAATTAAATAGTCACTCTACAAACAATCGATATATTAAGTTCATCACCCTAGACAGAAAGACTAAGAAAGGTGTCATAGGGGCCCCTTGCTTTCCAAGGACACATTTGCCCCACTGACCTGAAGAAACTGTCTCAAATGACGTAACAGGGACGTGACTGCAGGGGCCCTTGGAGGCTGAGCGGCTTTGAACACTAGCTCCTCTGTGGCCCTGGCTTAAAGCAGCCACTGCCCGTGGTCCCCAGTACACTGTGGCTCGAATTGCCATGGGGCACCTGAGACGCAGCTGCTAAGAGGTGCCGTGGAATCCAGGGGTCTGATTCTCGGTCCGGTACCCTGCACAGAGCACGCGTCGCTCACTCACGAGCTGCTGCCTTTGTTCTGCAGAATTTGTGGGGTGCTTACTAAGTGCCAGCCCCCGATCTAAGCTCCGGGGTATAGGAGTGAAGTAAGTAGACGTGGTGGTATCCCCATGGCACTCGGGATATCGAACGGCAGTCTAGATACAGTGTGCCACCTGGCTGTAACGACAGAAGTTCGGGTGCTGTGGAGCACGGGGGTGACCCTACCGCAGACCTCCGTGGTCCTGGAAAGTTGTCCAGAGGAAGAGGCATCTCAGCTGAAACTGAGGAGTGAGGGAGAAATTAGCCGGATGGAGAGAGAGGCTGGTGGCGAAGGGAACAACCCCGAGGCGAGGACGCCAGGCAGCCCGGGCAGGCAGGGGTGTGCCAGAGTGAGTCTGGAGATGGGCAGAAGCCGGAGCTGGAGGAGGCTGGGTAGCCAAGTTAAGGAATCGAGGCTTTGTCCTGATGTCCCTGGGGAGCCCTTGAAGTTTCAAGCAGGAGAAAAACACGATCAGGTTTGCTTTTAAGAAGGCTCACTCAGGCAAAAATGTGGGGAGCACCCCCGAGACGGGGAGCAGGGAGCCAGACGAGCAGTCGTCAGTCCGGGAAAGAGATGGCAGCTGCTTCTGAGGCCAAGCAGCAGTGAAGCTAACTGGAAGGTTGGGACAGACGCTGGGGATGTGGAAGGGATGAGTCTCCAGGGCTGAGTGAGGAGCTAAGGGAGACAGGGTGACGTGCAGGGTATGGCATGAGCACACGGGGCAGGCCTTGGTGCCCTGGAATGAAGTGAGGACATGGGAGGAAGGGGGAGCCTGCAGGGAAGGGAATCAGTTCTGCTCCGAGACAGTGAATGTGGATTACCTGCAGGGCATCCAATAGCAGCTGACGGGGCAGGACGTAAGTAAGCAGGGCCCAGGTGGAGGTCACAGCTGAGCCCCTGGCAGGACAGGGTCAGGACAAAACCTGCAGAAGACCCTGCAAGGGAGACGGAGAAGGAGCATCCAGGGAGAGCCAGGTGATGTTCCGTGGAAGCCAGTGAGAGAACTTTGCTCTGGGGCAGTGGCCAGCAGAGTGCTGGGCGCACAGTGAACGCAAGGGGTCTGCGAAGGCTGGATGTCGCGGGAGCCGGGTGTGTGAGAACAGCCAGACACGGCATTGCCACCCCTCCCAACCCAGGCCTTGCCCCGAAAGTGAGGTGCTTCTGCGTGGTGAGCAGAGCAGCCTGCCAGTCCACACCGGACCTGTCCCCAGCAGCGCTGCACCAACCTGAGCCCCTGCTGCGGCCCCGCAGTGAGACCTGGGGGCTCGCAGGAGATTCTGGGGGAGTCCCGGAGCCTCTAGCGGGCCCTCCTCAGGGCCTCCCCAGCGGGCCATGCCCCCAGCAGCGAGCAGCAGCTTAGGGTAGTTATTGCCCAGGGTGCCCTGGGGAAAGTCAGAGCAGGTTCCCCATGTGGTCACGGCTTGGGTCCCTGAGCCATGTCACTAATGGGAATGTGTCTTTTACAAGGACAGGAGTCGAAGGCTGCTCCTGGCACTGGGTGAGCAGAACTGAGCCTGGGGCAGGAGGAAGGGGACGGGCTTGGGGCACGCGGGGCAGGGTGGGCCGGGACGAACAAGGACGTGGCAGACGGGGGTCATCCTCTCCTCAGCTCGGTTCACCTCCTTTGCCTTCTCATCTCCCCGCCTCCCTTCACTCTCTCCCTCTTCTCCCCCAGGGCTGGGCTTCTTAGGAAAGAGTTTGTCTTGACAACCAGGGGTCAGGAACACGTGGGTGGGGTGGCCTGGAGCGGTGACAACAGCAGCAAAGGGAAATGGCCTCGTGAAGACGGGACAGCCCTCGGCCCACACCTCTGCAGTGGGCGAGCCCGTCTGAGCCTGGCGCTGGGCTGCAGAGAGGCATCTGGACCGGCTCGCAGCGTCTCCCCGACACACAGACACACCCCGTGTCTGCCAGTCCTGGGCGGCTCTTTGGAGAGCGTGGACCACAGCACTAAGCGCCCCCTCCGCCGTGCCCGGGGGCGGTCTGGGCACTGCCGCGGTGGTGCGGGGGCAGGGGCCTCAGCCCGGCCTGCCAGGGCCTCTTGGCCGCTCCGCCTGCCATGGATCCTTTGCACCTCCGCCCTGCTGTCCTGCAGCACGACAGGGTGTCAGCTCCCTGCAGCCTCGCTCCTGCATCTCACTGTTCTCACGCTTCCAGACTCGACCCAGCAGGGAGAGGACTCATCCGCTGACAACGAAGGACTGTCAAATCCTACGAAATCCTAGGGACTGGGCATGGCCAGGGTGGGCGTCAAACAGCTCTATCCCCCCGCTGGGCTGAAACTGAAGCATAAAGAGTCCTCCCCTGAGTGGCCTGCACCCGACCTGAGGCGGGCTGCCCAGCAGACGCAGGCCGGCGGGCGCCCACAAGCACAGCACAGCGACCCACACGTGCCATGGATGCTGGCTGAACCTGGTGCAATCTGACCGCAGCCAGAGGAACTGCGTTTCTCCCCGCGAGGTGACAGGCCCTATCTGAAGAGGACTTGATAATCTGTGATGAGCCGGAATACCCTTGGTGAGGGAGCCAGGGGCGGAATGCTAACACTGGACAAGGGAAAATCTTGTCTCCTTCCCTGGAAAGGCCCTGTCTGCAGTCACAGGCCCAGGAGGCGGATTCGGAAAATCGCAGGGACATAACTCACACTTCGTTCCATCAAGCGCCGAGCACTCCGGCCTTTGCCTATGTTGTTCCCCGGCCTGGAATGCCCTCCTCTGCCCACTTCCTCGAACGAAAACTCACCCAGCTAACGCAGCGATGGATGAAATCACGTGTCTGGGTCTTACCAGGATCCAGAAAGAGTTGAGAGGTGAGAGGATAGGGGAAAGGAGGTCATTAAAATCAAACTGGCCAAATAGTAACAATTAATGACACATGATGGTGGGTCTGTTATTCTATTTTGTGTATATTTGGAAATTTCCATACTAAAATTTTCCTTAAAAACCCTAGGCACCCCCCAAACCCAGGCCAGCCCTTCCCTGGACATGAGCTTTGCTGCCTCACGGACGGGCCCCGCCCTGGTCACTCTAATGGCGCAGCCAGGGGTGCCCACAATGATTCACTGTGGCTGTACATTGTGTGTTCGTTTCACAGACTTTCTCTCCGTTGCCTCTTAAATGTCACGGCAGAAAGGAGAAGACGGGAAAGCAACTAACATTTCGTAAGCTCCCGGACTGCACGTTCCGCCCGGAGGCCGTGCCCCACCCGCTTCTCCAGCTCCCCACGCGTGGCTCATACGTGTCTGTGGGGAGATGCAGAGCAAGCGTCCAGTGAGCATCAGCACGACCGTCTGGTGGACGAGCGGACGGCCATCGGAGACCACGGGGGAGTTTCTGAAGGCCCGGGAGAGACACGTTAGAACGCTGAGTGAAAAAGATCGAAGCAACACCTATATACCGATGGTCTCAACTCCATGGAAACTGGCTCGAGGGAAGACTGGAAAGACCTCAGAACGTGCTTATTGGAGGATTATTAGAGATTTTTTTTCTTGTTTTTATATTTTCGAAATGTGGTTTAGCATCACCTGTAACAGGAGCCAGCAAACTTTTTCTGGAAAGGGTCAGATGGTAATCTTAGCTGTGCAGGCCATTGGGTCTCTGTCCAATCCACTCAGCTCTGCCTTAGCAGCTGGAAAGCAACCCCGGACACGAGGAAAATGTGGGCGTGGCCGGGACCCAACACGGCTTTATTGCAGAAACAGGTGGGGGCTGGATTCGTCTCATGACCACCCACGGTTCTCTGACCGCTGATTTATGACTACAATCGAAGAAAAAAAAGTTATTTAAGTTACATTAAGTATGTATTCTTTGACCGTGACTGTAAGATCCTGATACTCTGATCACACATAGTATAGAAAGTTTACAGTCGCAATTTATTCTGGTCCCCTTGGATCATAAAACACCAAAAATTAAAAGTCATAAGCTAGCAAATATGAGGATGAAAATTCTATGCTGGGTAGAGGAGTAAAAATTCACAATACCAGTGATTAATACAACATTTATCTTCGTTTTAAGCCTAGTATATTTTATTTATTTGATCTTTTATGTCTTACATGTAATATTTTAGAGACCACTCCGGAACCTATTGTTTTTAAAACATAATTTAGGATGAGGAGAAAAAGTTAGCCTCTCATTTCCTTTTTTTCTCTCCAGATTTTCGGAAGCAAAGGCCCTGGGAGAAAATATCAATGAAGCAAGGCGTAAGATTGGTAAGCAGACGGCCTTCTGTGGGCCTCTCTTAGGGACCTTTTCCTGGCGAAAATCAGGCCATACAGTGCCTCAAAGCCGTGGCACCTGGTTTCGGGGTGCCCGCCCAGGAAGGGGTTGTCACCCTGCCCTCATCCATCGGGAAGAGCCATTGTGTTCCATCCAGACCTCGACCTGCGCCCCCTGCAGGCCTGAGCTCTAGCATCCCAGTGACAACATTTAGTTTCTCCCTGGGGTCTTTCCACAGTATCTCAGCTGGTCATCTCCATGGGATCACAGTGACAACTCACATTTCCGGCGCTAGGAGACACGTACACCTCCAAAGCCTATACTTCGCATTTCTGGTACAGGTGCTCATTTTTCAGCACCACCCAGTCAACCCGTGGGAGGGTGAGAAGCTAACACGAGCCAGCGTGCCTTCCAGGATGCGAGTGCTGAGCAGGGCTCCCCCACGTAGGTGAGCATCCCGGGACAGGTGAGGTCAAAGCCAAGGCCGACTCAACCGTAGTAGGCACAGATCTTTGTGAAAGCAGGAGGAAAACGTGTCTTCCGTTCCAAGCTAGAAGATACATGGAGACCCATCCCCTGGGGGGGGCAGCCTCACAGAGGGGATCCCATAGTAAGGAAGGCAGAAGTTACCGACCTGTTCGCAGCTGACGCCCAAGTCCCTCTTGTCCCATCTGCCTCCCTTCATAAATGAGGATGAGGGAAAAGCCACTCTGAATGGCCCTTCGGGCTTTTTGGCAGAACATTTGAAATCATCATAGCCTCAGGTTGTTCCCACTGAGGAGATGGGAGCCCTGGGTTCTCGTCATTGGCCTGAATGGGAAGGGCTGCAGCAGCCAGGCCCTGCACCATGCCCAGCACCAGGCCGAGACTCGCTAGACTCTTAGAGATTCCCAACCTGAAGTCCAGGATATTGGGGGTGGGACCTTCATTTTCACTAACCTCCACCTGTAGCTGAGCACTGCCTCAGTGATGAACACAGGCAGCAGACCACGGTAGAACACAGCACCTGTCCCCAGTGGGAATCACGGACATTTGCATTGCACAGCACAGATGGCAGACATGGAAAAACATCCTTTACACTCACCAGTGCTTCAAAACTACGGTACTTATTAAACTCAGCATTAGACTTGATTATTTAATGCACATAGATATCTCTGTAACAAAAAAAGTCTTAAATTTTTGATGACTCTCTTAATACAGTTGGTTTCCCTTAAACCCCTATGTGAAACGTCTTTCTTGGCCCGGACTCCAAGCCCCCGACACTGCATGGTAACAAAGGGGGGGTAGGAGTGTGCGCATTCTTCTGGAGATAATAGCCACAGTTTAGCTGGTTCTCAAAGGGACCAGTGACCCACGGCGATAAGAAGCTACTGGGAAAGGAAAGCGGACAGCCTGCTGAGAAGCAGCCCAGGCCCTGCAGCCGGCAGTGCTGAGCTGCCCGCAGGTGGCCGGGAGGGCGGGCACGTAGGCCTCAGTGGACAGCCACTTGTCAGCACTGTGGGACTCAAGGGACCCAGTGGTCTGTTCACACTCAGGGGAGATAAGAGGGAAAGGCTTTTCACAGATTACATCTCCACAAAAAGTAGGTTTTCCTCTTCGAAAGTATCTAGCTCGTGCCCTGGCCAGTTTCGCAGTGGTTAGAGCATTGGCCTGCAGACCAGAGTTGCAGGTTTGATTCTGGTCAAGGGCACTTACCTCGGTTGTGGTTTGTCCCCAGCCCTGGTCAGGGTCATGCGGGAGGCAACCAGTCAATGTGTCCTTCTCACGTTGATGTTTCTCTCTCTCTCTCTCTCTCTCTCTTTCTCTCTCTCTCTCTCTCTCTCCCTCCTTCCCTCCCACTCCATCTGATAATAAATAGAAAAATATCTCAGGTGATGATTAAATAATAATAATAATAATAATAAAGAAAAGTGCCCTGGCCGGTTTGGCTCAGCGGTTAGAGCATCAGCCTGCGGTCCGGAGATACCCGGATTCAGTTCCCGCTAAGGACACGTACCTCAGTTGCAGTTTGTCCCCAGCCCTGGTTGGTCGTGTGGGTGGCAGCCACTTGATGTGTCCCTTTCACGTCAATGTTTCTCTCTCTCTCTCTTCCCACTCTAAAAAAAAAAAAAGGATCTAACTCGATAAACCACAATAAAACTGTTCCCATGCTAATGAACCACATCTCTGACGGAGGTCACCCATAGCCTACACTCACCTACTTAGCTTTTTTACTCTGAGTACCTTGGGTTGTTGTCACAGTTTTTGGCGCAGTCACACCGGTTGATGCACCCAGTTTGCAGCGTTCTTGAGATCAGGTGCGTGGTGGTCGGAGGCTGCCCTGCAGCTGCGCAGGTTGGGCGGGGGGTGCGAGGCGGGAACTGCCCCCCACAGAGGATGTCTGTAACTGAAGACGTGCTAGCAGAAGCCCTGGGCAAGTAGACCTGTGTCTTCCTGACTGACAAGCACGCACTGCTCCTCCAGTGGTGCTGATAACGCTGCTTTCACTTCCACTTCGTTGTGTGCACGTAGCAGGCTGACACCCATCTTCCAGCCCCTCCTCTTTCCAATGTGCTCCTGATGCAAGGAGGCCAGGTGAGTGGATCACAGAGACTCAACCGGTGCCGATGGAACCCCTCAGGTGCTCGACCACAGGGGGGAGCCCACCATCACTGCACCTCAGGAACAAGGTTAAGAGCAAAGAGGCATAAGGTGGAATTCATACACATATTTTAAGTTTCCAAGGTAACCTTGAGGGAAACTGGTTTCAGGAGATTTGTGACATTATCGAGTCATAAATCTTTCATTTCTTCCTAGGGAGAGCTTAGATCAAGTGACATTCTCAGTCCCCAGTGAGTCCTTTAGCGAATCCAAGGGTCATGGGGTGGGAGCAGGGCGAGATGTACCGCCGTACAGCGGGGCGGTGACTCAGCTTCGCTCCCAAACTGCACGGCGACCCACGAGGCAGAAGTAAGCGGCTTCCGTGAGCACTTGCAGCGGGCCCGCGGGGAGGAGAGGAGAGCCGTGTGTGTGAGCTACAGCCCGCCAGCCCGCGTGTTCAGAGCCAGGTGCCGCGGCCTTCCCAAGCAAGTCAGCTTCTCTCTGGCCTTGCGACCTCGAGCTGCCGCCTGCGTTTCATTCTCAAGATCCCCGAAGGCCGCCGACTCAGCAGTGGCCACATACCTATTCTTCCGTGACACAGTCAGCAACTCTAAAGCTTCCTAGCATCTGCTTCTCTTCTAACAAGCCACCCAACCTAGGTGGATCTCTTGCCATAAACCCCCCTCCTTTCCCCCTTCTCTATGTATTATTTCCATCAATCCTGATGGCAAAACAAGTTTAGATCAGACATGGAAGAATAAAAAAAAAAAAAATAGACTAGAACATTTGTTTGCATAGGAGAGTCAGTTCCATTGTGTCTACCTGTTCCGTACACACGAGCTTTCTGTCATCTGGGCTGTTTGGAACACCTTTGTATGCATCCCGATTCCATCGATCACAGCTCTAAAGTGCTCCTGAGCACTGAGCTCACACTGTGGGGAAGAAATAGACGGCTTGGAGCTGGCGGCACCAACCGGGCCCTTCTTCACTCACGGGAACTTGGCGCCGGGGCCTCCCCATTGCAGCTCTAGCTGACGGCATTGTCTTTGGCAACAAAGGACAACGCGTGGCTGTTCCCTGGCAGAAGCCAGCCGCTCTGAGGCAGGTGAAGGGTTTGACTGACACCTCTTGGCACGACTTCATCCTCCACGGACCCGTCCAGGCCTAAATGAAAACTGACGTCACCGGATGCTGCACAGAGGGTTTTCACGAGCGTGCCAGTCATCGGTTCCAGAATCACAGGAAATGTCAGACAAGAAACCGTTAGTGAGAGGTGAAGGAAAACGACCCACACCAGGAAAGCCAACAAGACATTCTGAAAGTGTTCTTTCTCCTACTCCCAACCCACCAGCTAAACAATACTCTCTTTAAAAATCGTCTCTCTCGTACATTTAAAGATCTGGGAAAACCCGACCTGGGTCTCCGTTCTCGGAATAAATAGGACTGTGTTTCAGTTTTGTGCATTTCCTGTACTTTGATCTGCCTTGAGGTTTCCTTCTAGACCGACGCGTGCATGTTGGTTTCCAGGGTCTCGTCCTGGCAGGGCAAGGAGCAGCCAGGGCATTTGCTGGGTTATGCAGCCCTGAATCAAGTATATTCTTTTGTTACTCTTTGTCACCAGCTCCCAGCAACAACCACATCCACAGCAGCCTCCACCCTTTACTGAGCACTGACTCTGGGCTGGGGCAAGAAGTTGACCTCGGTGCATCATGTATTCCTCACAGGAAGAGCCACTGCCCACTAGGGGGCATCACCCCATGTCCTGTATTCTAGGAGACACAATCTTTACAGTCTTAACCCCTCAAATGGGGATACATTTAACCATCCCACATAGCAATTTTTTCATATTCTGATTTAAAATTCTTATAGTTTAAAAACCTCTGTAACGAGGACGATCCTGTCTTACGGCCGATGCAGTCTCGAGTCTATGAAATACGGTATTATCGTTATTGTTCAGATTTTTAAAAAATGGCCTTTTAGCGAGGTGCCCTACTAAGTGGCCAAGCTGGAATGAAAACCCGTTTCTGTCCAACTCCAAAGCGTTTAAATACCGTGTACTATCCCCACGAGTCAGGTTTATTGAACCTCGATGTTTTCCTCTGAGTTTGCAATGTTACTGGGCTGCCACTCCGTTTCCCTGACTGTCTGCCTTCACCCTGCACGGCATCCAACCACAGGCTCGCACGAGACCCCGCTTCCGCGCACACAGCCCAGAAGGTTCAAGGCGTCGTCCTAACGCGCGTGACGGGCTCCGCTGTGGCAGCGAGTGGGATCTGAAGCCCAGCCTGCCCCGCTCCCCACCCCACGTGCACGGGGTAGGGTCGCTGCTTTCCTTGGGGCCCCCGAGAGCCCCTTTTCCTAGTTTGCGGAAACATGCGCTGTGGGATCCTGTGACCACGTGGGCTCCAATTCT